TAGCCTGGGACAGCACAGTTTGTCTGAGTTTCTGGGGTAGCATTTGTCCTGGGCCAAGGCAGGCAGAGTTCCACTGAGCTATGGAAGCCCCTCTGCCATGACAGCACATTGATCCAAGAGGGAGGAGTGCTTTCTTATCCCTTATCTAATTTGATCCTGGTAGTCGTGCTGGGAAAGGAAGGGTTGTTCACCCCATTTTACAGATGGGCAAACGGGGCCAGGGCAAGGCAAGTGATTTATCCCAAGCCTCATGACTTCTGGAAGAAAAGTGGGATCTGTCCAACCTGTCCGTGTCTACGTTCCTCTTATTTCCCCGGCTCTTCTTCTCTCGTCGCCCCCTCTCCCCTATATCTGTCCTCCTTTCCTTTTCTACTCTCTGTCGGTCACTGAGCTAATCAGTGGACGAGAAGCATTTTTAAGCACTTATCAACACTTATAAAGTGACACATTCCTGACCTCAAGGCACTTCCATTCCATCCATGAAGACAACATGACAATATAAGCATGTACAGACTAAATAAAAACATAGACACTCATCATTTTGGGAAGGAAGAACTCACCTCTGGGGTGACTGGGAAAGGCCTTATGTTAAAAAATGACGCGAGAAAAGCTTCAAAGGAAACCAGAGCGTCTGAGGGGTGAAGAGCTGGAGCGGGGTGCAGAGGGCGCAGCCAGTGCAAAGGCACGGAGAGGAGAGACGGCGTCTTACTCACACAGCTCCTGGGGCCCTGTCTCTTTGCCCAAAACAGAGCAGCTGTGATTCTGAGGTTCTTGGGTTGCTTCGGTAAAAATTCTGTTTGTCCAGAAATGGGCCTTCAGGTGACTTCTATTCTGGCTTTGGTTCTCAACAGCAGCTGGGTGTGAGGTGGGGGAAGTGACCATTCCGTCCTAAAAGGTGTGGAAAAAAAGAGGAAATCTGGGCAGAGTGCCGTGTACTCTCGATTTTGGGGAAGTGGATTTCAAAGCATGAAGAGGAAAGATAAGGCAGGATCTCATGGACTGAAACGTTTCAGGGGAAGCTAGCCCAGAAATGACGAGAGATGCTCAGTAATCATTGCTTTACTATAAGCACGTTAAGTTTTCAAAGCTTTTTACTTCATTTATTATCTCACAACAGTCCCGGGAGGTAGGTGCCAGTATTACCTCCATTTTGCAGATGAGGAACTGAGGCTTAGAGAGGGTTAAGTGACTTGTCCAAGGTCATACGGCTACAGGTAGCATTCTATCCATGGGGCCACCTAACTGCCCTTGATGAACTCATATCACCCGGCCCAGATCAACTACATCCTCTGAAGGGCCCTGAAAGACCTGAGTGATGGGGTGTCTGGGCCACTGTCTGTGAAATCAGAAAGTTCCTGAGAGATAGGAGAGGGGCCACAAAGTGGAGGACAAATATGGTCCAGATTCTCAGAACAGGGAAGTGACCAGGGTCTGCAAACTACAGGACTCTGATTCCTGGGGAAATTCATGAACACGTCATTTGAGAGATGGTTGGGGAGAATCCAGACAGTGAAGGGGTGATTCCTACGAGGAAGCCTGGCTTCATCAAGAAAACAGGTCATGCTCATTTTCTTTATTGGGCAGAATTGTTAAAATCATAAAAGAAGAGAGTGCTGTTTACCCTAAATTTTGGAAAGCTTTGGATAAAGTATCTCATATTATTCTTTGGGAAAACATGGAGAGATGTGGATAGACAAGAACAGTATTAGACAGATTCAGAGTTGGTTGGATGGCTGGATTTAAAGAGTTGCTTTCCTGGTTCAATGTTGTTGTGACCCAAAGTCTTTGGGGGACGGGGAGACATAGGGATCTGTGCTTGGCTCTGTGCTGTTTTAACGTTTTCTCGATGACTTGAACAAAGGCATAGATTATATGCTCATTAAATTCTCAAATGATCCGGAGCTGAAAGTATCACAAACACACCGGATGATAGAGTCAGGATCTGGAAGAATTCAGACTTTAGCATCAGGCTGAATCAAAGATGAAATTCAATAGAGATTTTATGCTCAGACACAAAAAATTTAACTTCGTGAGTACAGGGTAGGGAAGTATAGGTAGACAATAGCTGTTCTGAAAAAGATCTGAGGATTTTAGTGGACCCCAAGCTCCATGTGAGCGATGTGGCTGCTAGACAAGCTAGGGAGACCTGAGGCTGCATTGAGACACAGGGCTTCCCAGCATAGAGAGGTGATGGCTTCACTGTCTTCTACTCTGGCCAGAGCACACTGGGAGGATTGTGTCCATTTCTAGGGACTTTGGTTTAAGGAGGACAGAGACAAGCTGAAGGGTGTCCAGAGTAGGACAGCCAGATTGGGGTGAAGCAGTTTAAGTTCATGTCACATGAGGTTTGATTGAAAGAACAAGGCACGTATAACCTGGAAAAGAGAACAAGGGGAACGTGAGAGCTATCTTCAAGTACTGGCTGTAATGGTGAGAAGGATTACATTTGCTCTTTACAGCCTGGGAGGGCAGAACCAGGAAAAAGGGGGAAGTTAACAAAGAATCCAAGTGGAGCTTGATGTCAGGAAGGAAAGGCAACAAGGGCAGAAAGGTTTGTTTGGCTGAGTTTGTCTGAGAAAGGGGAGAGGTAGTGGGGGAAAGACACGGTGGGGGGGGATGGGGAGCGAGAAAGGGAGAGAAAGAGGGAGACAGAGACAGAGAGAGACAGAGAGAAGAAGGGAAAGAGAGAAAGGGAGAGAGAGAGGGAGGGGGGAGAGAGAGACAGAGAGACAGAGAGAGACACAGACAGAGAGAAACAGACAGTGACAGAGAGGAAGAGAGAGAGAAAGGGGGACAGAGAGAGGGAGAGGGAGGGAAGGAGAGAGAGGGAGAGAGAGAGAGAGAGAGGGAGGGGGAGAGAAAGAGAGAGAGAAACAAAAGAAGGGAAAGAAAAGAGAGAAAGAAAAAGAAAGGAAAGAAGGAAGAGGATAGTTTCAGGAGACAGTCAGGTCTAGGCAAAATTGTTTAAGACTGGTGAATGCTTGAACCTATCTATAGGCAGTCTGGAAAATTAGGGAGAAGTGGGCTGGAATGAATGAGAGGACAACCTGTTGGAATAGACAGATTATTGTGAAGAAAAGACAGGGGGGCAGCTAGGTGGCACAGTGGATAGAGCACCAGCCATGAAGTCAGGAGGACCTGAGTTCAAATCCAGCCTCAGACCAAACACTTGACACTTACTAGCTGTGTGACCCTAGGCAAGTCACCTAACCCCAATTACCTAAAAAAAAAAAGCTGGAGAGGGAAGGGAGTGCAATTGGGTGGTCACAGGGTTGGAGTTAACAGCGTCAAATTGTGCCTTTGGTCAATGAGGAAGAGGGGGTCTGGGAGTGGGCTGCCATATTGTAATGAAGTACTCCTGTCCATTCTTCACGATGGGTCCAGGAAACCCTCTTCCTGACACTCTTTTCTTACTCGTCCTCAGGGGCTGCTCCAGTTTGAGGACACCATGTGTGCAGGTGAGATGGCCTTGGCAGCCGCTCTGGAGAGGGAGCACCTGCATACTGGTAGGGAGGAGGGGTGATCCAGCTGATCTGACTGGAGCACTGTTGGGCCGGCCTCAGGTTTCCTCATAGCATGTTGAGGGTTATGTGCTGCTCTGTGAATGGGAAAAACTTCAGTGCAGACTAATGGTGTGGCCATTCACAGAGTGTTTTCTGGAGCAAATTAGCATTTCTCTGACTTGGAGCTTACAACCGTTTCCTGTGCTTCTGTATCCTCTAAAGACTCCAAGCTGCTCAGTGTCTAGAGCCATGTGAATTTGAGGGAGCACATGGCTTAAGGGGAACCTCTGGCTCCTCCCAGGCTTGGTTCAAACATTACTCATTCTTACTCGCCCCACCCTCCCTTTTGCTTTTCCAGCCTCATCTATGAGCTGGTTGGAAATGTGGTCACTATTTGTGAGGCATCTGCCCAATCATTTTTTAAATGAAGGTTGTATTGGTGTTCTTTTCCCTCCGTCCCTATAACTTCCCAACAGCTCTTCAGTGCCCCCATCGCCTCAGTAGAACCCTCCTTTGTAACAAAGAAGTTCAGTCAAACAAAAGAAATACCTGGCTAGATTAGCTGGGGAGGTATGCCTCATTCTGTACCTCTAGCCCACCACTTCTCTGTCCCAAAGTGCCCCTCCTTCCCCCCCCCTCCTCTTTAGTGTAGAAGGGCAGGAGGTCCATAACCTTTCCCTTCTTCCAGGGGAGCTGCAGAGTGCTGGACAGTTGGCTTTTGGAAGGAAGAAGGGGGCAGTAGCTTTTAGAGTCCCAGGAATCAGGCATGGACCTGAATCCAGACAGGAGCCCAGACTTCAATAAGAGCTCCAATATGACCCCCAGTCCAGACATGGGCCTCTTCCCAGCCTTGGGCATATCCCTGGGTCCCAGGGATATGGGTCCCAGCACGAGTAAGACCCTGGCTCTCAATGTGGACAACACGCCCAGACTGGACTCTAGTGGAGTCCTGACTCCAACTTCTGTGGGAGTGATTTTGAGAATCTGGACTCAGAGAGCAGATCTCAGCATAACGCAGACCTGGCCATTGCTCTGACCTCCACCGAGGTCCAGGGCCCCACCTCCAGCAAGACTGTCAGCGTGGAGTCAAACAGTACCTTCAGATCTGGCTCCAACATCACCAGTGCCCCAGCCCTTAGCATGGTTCTTGTGTCAAGCAACCAGACTTCCACTCCCAGTTCCAATATCATGATTGCCCCAGACCCCAGCCTGAACCTTCTCCCAGGCCAAGAGGCTGACAGGCCCAGTCCCAGCTCGAACATGCCCCTTGTACCAACTCTTTCTTCCACCCTCCTTGAGCATAAAATTCCCAGTACCCACAGGGCCTTGGAACTGAACTCCAATAGCACCTCCAAGACCAGGTTAGCCAAAGCGAGCCTGAGCCTGAGCCTGACTTCTGAAAAGGCCTTGAGTCTGAATTATGACACTGGTTCCCTGACTGGCTCTACCAGTGCTCAGCCAATGACTTTTGACTCAACCTCCAGTCCTAACTTCCAAGGAAACTGGGCCAGGAAAATGTCTCGAGGCCAAGCTCCAACCCAGTCCTGTCTCCCTTCTCCAACACGACCCCCAGTCCTGGCTCCGGGAGGTCTCTGGGTTTGGGGATAGGCAACATCTCCAGGTCCAGTTCTAGCACGGACCAGTCTCCACCCCCAAGTCCAGCCTCCAGGAAGACCATGACCATGGCAATGGGCAATACCAATGAGGCCTTTAATTCTACTTTGGCCAACAAAACTACTTCAGACTCCAACATCGCCAGACCCAACTCACTCATGGCCCTTGCACCCATCACCTGCATGTCCCTGGTGGTCGATGACAGCCAGGGCAAGAGAGCCGATGCAGGCTGCATCCTAACGGACGTTTCCTGTGTGACCCTGACAATCAGCCAGGGTGAATCAGAAGACTTCAGGATGCCCATGAGGTGTAACAACAGGACAACAGAACTCAAGAGGAAAATGGAAAAGTCTGTCCCTGAAGACACCTACACCTATCAGACCGCATCTGACGGTAAGGAAACCCAGAGCTTTGCACGGAGATCTCAAGGCTCTGGATCCACTAGAAGTACCCTAGGGTCACCTAGTCCGACCCTCTAACATTATATGTGGGTAAATTGAGGACCAGAGAAATGAGAAGAATTGACCCAGATCATGGAGTAAGTTAGTGGCAAAGCTGGGTCTTGAACCCAGGCCCTTAGACTCTGAATCCAACATTCTTTCCCCTGAGCTCGTGAGGAGGAGGCCTGGTCTGAGAGCCAGGGGGCCCAGGTTCAAGCCTGGTTCTACTGTAAATCTCTTTGAGGTCATAGCTATATCTTTTTTTCTAGACCTCAATTTCCTCATCCACGAAATGGAACCAAAAACTGTGGGTACACAACAATCTAACCCACTCTCCCACCCACACTACCTGCTGCCCTGAAATCTTTGCCCTGATTGATGAAGAACAGGGTACTGAGACACAAACTCATGGATATGACAACCCTTTAAGCATTAGGGGAAAGCTCATTATACTGAGAGGGGAGGAAGGAGGAAAAGGGAGAGGGGGAGGGAGGGACAGAGACAGAGACAGAGAGGGAGGGAGGGAGAAAGGGAAGAAGGGAGGTAGAAGGGAGGGAGAAGTGAGGGAGAGAGAGAGAAGGGCGAGGGAGAAGGAGAGGGAGAGGGAGGAGGAGGGAGGGAGAGAGGGATATAGAGGGGGGAGGGAGAGGGAGAGAAGGAGGGAGGGAGAGGGAGAGGTGGGGAGGGAGGGACAGAGACAGAGACAGAGACAGAGAGGGAGGGAGGGAGAAAGGGGAAAAGGGAGGGAGAAGGGAAGGAGAGAGAGAGAAGGGGGAGGGAGAAGGAGAGGGAGAGGGAGGGGGAGGGAGGAAGAGAGGGATATAGATGGGGGAGGGAGAGGGAGAGAAGGAAGAAGGGAGGAAGGAGAGAGGTGGAGAGGGAGAGGGAGAGGGAGGGGAGGAGGGGGAGGAAGAGAGAAATATAGAGGGGGGAGGGAGAGGGAGAGGGAGGGGGAAGAGAAGGGAGGAAGAGAGGGATATAGAAGGGGGAGGGAGAGAAAGAGGGAGGGAGGAGGGAGACAGAGAGGGAGAGAGGAGGGAGACAGAGAGGGAGAGAGAGAGTCCCCACAAGCCCAGAGTAATAGGAGCAAGCATTTACAAAGCATTTTGAGGTTTGCAAAGCACTCTACTTGCATTGACTCTCACAAAAAACCTGTTTGATCTGTGTTATTATTATCTCCATTTTACAAAAGAGGAAACTGAGACTTAGATGAATTGACTTGCCCGGGGTCATACAGCTAGCAAGTGGCAGAGCTGCGATTTGAACCCAGGTCTTCCTGACTCTTCCACACTGTCCAGGGTTCTAAATGGCTGCATGTGATGCTTGAGGAGCTGAGGAGCACAGACAGGGCCTGGAGAGGGGCTGACAGGCTCAAGATTATCAAAACGGGGAAAGAAGGACTGGTGAACTTGGATTGTCTTATTGGCAAAATTCCAGAATAGCTCATGAAAAGGGGCTTCATGGAGCATTTAGGAAAGGAGAAGTGTTTCCAGAAAGCCAGCACAGGGTCACTGAAAGCAAGTTTTGCTAGACTACCCTCGTTTTCTTTGCTGACCATTACTGAGCTAGCAGATGGGGGAGAGGGAATCCCATTGGCAGAGAAGACTTATTTGGACTTGGACAAAGCGCAAGATGGTCATGGAGAGAGATGGGCTGGTTGAGGGGAGAGTCTGGAAGACACGGAATGACTGTCAATGACTGCGTGGGAAGAGTGGTAATTGACACACATCGACCCTCCTTCCCCCAACAAAATTTCCACTCGTCAATATCTCCCCCTGCCACAAACTATACTTACTCCCAGCTCTGGGACTATTGGTTTATTCCTGAACATTTTTTCCCCTCATGCAGAGACCACTGGGGGCTCAGAAATGGTGACAATGAGGTATCTACAAATGCCACAGTCTGTCACCACAGTCCCCAATCCAGACATGAGGCTGCTCCCCCAAATGCTCCTATCCCCCCACGGAAGGACGCTGGGAGCCAGAGCTGTGTGTGATCCCGAGAGTGTTTTAAAGGATCGGCAGAATGAGCCATCCTCTGGGGTGGCTGCTTCTTCCATGCTTCTGTCAAACCAGACTCATGCCCCAGACTTGTTTTTGCTGTTTTTTCAATTGTGGCCAACTCTTTGTGACCCTTTTTGGGGTTTTCTTGGTGAATATACTAGAGCAGTTTATCATTTCTTTTTCCAGTTCATTTTACAAATGAGGAAACTGAGGCAAACTGGATTAAGTGACTTGCTCAGGGTCATACAGCTAGTACGTCTGAGGTCACATTTGAACTCAGGCCTTGCAGATTCCAGACCCACTGCGCCACTTAGCTGCCAAACTTGAGGAGCTACCTAACTACCGAGTTTCACACCGTACATATACTCTTTTCACAAACATCTGTTCATTGACTGACGGTTCCACAGGCACACCTACAGGCCAGTGTTTCCACTAAACCTCCACTCACCAGAATCTAGAGCACCTCCTGAACCCTCTCTTAAAGCCCAGAGAATAATGAATGATTTCTGATGAGGCATAGGGATTAGTGGATAGCAGTCCCATGAAAACTAGTCTTCAATTCACAGTTGTCTGCTTTCTTTTGGTGTTCTCATACTTTGTTTTTAAAGGCCCAGAAGAAATGTGACTTGCCCATGGTGATATAGACAAACTCTAGGGTTCAGACCTTGAGTCTGTAGGCACAGGACTTCCCACACCAGGACACCAAGTCTTACCTGGCAGCAAGGCATAAGAATATTCCACACCAGGTTCACATCATTATAACTGCTACTTTGACATTTTATGCTTGGATTTTTACTAAGCAACTAACCCCTTTCTGCCTGGGAGCATTTCTTTATATTCTTTTCACAGGCAAAGAATATGTCTACTTGTCTTAGCTCTCTTGCTTAGCTTTACCAGAGGGAGATCCACCAGGGAAAAAAAGAAATATTAGTCCTCATGTCTACAGAACTTGAGATTTATAAAGTACTTGGTTCCTGTCAGTCCTGGGAGACAGATAGTTAATGAGGAAACTGAGGAATGAGGAAGCTTCTCTGGTGAGAAGGGTAGTACTAACTTGCCCAGTGGCACAGTGGTACAACTAGAGCTAACACCCTAATCCTCTTTAAGAACCCCTAAGTCCAGGGCTCCTCTCTCTACACTACAGCTCCTAGATTTCCCATCTGGAAAAAAAAAAGAAACAAGACAAACCACAAAATCATGTTTCTATGCCAGCTCCACAAAACCACAAGCATTTTCTTCCCATCTGAGTCATTTTCCACTCTATCTCCAAGAAGAGAGCATTCTCTCCACTCCCGGCAATAATCTCTAGCCCAGCTAAGTTGAAATTTCAATAGTTACCGCTTCCCTTAGTTTTTTCCTTCCTAAGGTTGTTTTCTGGAGTGGAACTGCTGGTGATAAATCCAGCCTTGCACCAAAATATATGCGTGTTTCTAAACATAAAACTTAATGTTTTTCTGGAAGAAAGATTTAGAATCACTCCATGATGAAGGACCTAAAAGAAATCACAGTCCCTGTCCTGGAAGAGCTTATAATACGGTTAAGGGGATGAGATGTTCACATATAGAGAAGGTAATTGTATGAAAATTCATTGTATGACTTTGAGCAAGTCATTTCTCTAGACCTCTTTTTTCACCTGTAAAATGAGGAAGTTAGATTTGCAGCTCTAATAGTCTGTATTTTATATTCCAACATTTGATATTCAAAGGGCCCTTTCAGCAGATAGTCTGTGTTCTAAGGTGCCTCTCACCTTTGACATGCTGTGTTAAAGATCCCTCCCAGTTAGTCTAGCATTCTGTATTTTTTGTTCTAAGGTCTCTCCCAGTCTGACATTCTCTGCTCTAAGGCCCCTCCCAGCCCTGACATTCTGAGATTCTATGATCTTCTGACTTCCTAACACTCACCCAGAGATTCAGAATGAAGCTCTATCGACAAGTCTGCTCCATGGAATTTCCCAAGCCTAGGCCTGTTCAGAGGCCCTCAGGAACAGCCAGCACTCTGACTCCTAGTCTGGGTCCTGGAGTGTCTCTGGCAGAGGCAGGAGATTGTGTGACCAGCCTGTGCCCTCCAAAGTCCCCACCCCACATCTCTTTCCCTGTTAGGGAGTGATGGGAAGAATTTAACTCTCCTTCTTCTCTCCCATGCTTTGAATTGGAGACATCCAGAGATCTATGTTGAGGCTGCATCAAGCCTCCCCGAGGAGAAGGAGTCAAGAGAGAATAGCAGATATGTAGCGCAAGCATCATAAGCATGCCATCTCTGCCTGCATCCAAGTCACTGATAAAATGTTGAACAGCACAGGGCCAAGGACAAATCCCTGGGGCACTCCACTAGAGACCCCTCTTCCTCTACAGGGAAGGGCCCTGGCTCTCTGCTCCATCTGTCTGTCTCCTTCTGGGAAACTCTGGACATCTGACTCCTCCCTGCTCAATGACCCACACAGGGCCCTGCCCACATGTCCTCGTAGAGGGGATCCTTGCAGGGGTCTTCTCACAGGGCTGAGCCTCACAGAAGACCCTGGGGTTTGGAGCAATCCCCACTGGTCCTGCCTTTCCATTGTTTGCTCTTACCTTTGCTATGCTCCTGATGTGTTTAGGACCCTTTGGCAGGCGCTGTGTGAGATACATGACATAATCAGAGTCTTTGAATGACAGAATGAGGAGGAAGCCTGAAATATAGAATGTTAGAACTAGAAAGGACCTTAGAACATAGAACATTAGAGTGGGGAAAGGTCTTAGAACACAGAATGTTAGAACACGGGATGTCAGAGCTGGAAGGGACTTTAGAACATAGAATATCAGAGCTGTAAAGGACCTTAGAATACTGCACATGGAATGTTAGAAAACAGAATGTCAGAGCTGGAAGGGACCTTAGAACACAGAACATCAGAGATGGAAAGGATCTTAGAATACTGAACATGGAATGTTAGAACACAGAATGCCAGAACTGGAAGGGACCTTAGAACGTAGAACATTAGAGCTGGGAAAAGACCTCAGAATATAGAACACAGAATGCTAGAATATAGAATGTTAGAGCTAGAAGAGACCTTAGAACATAGAACATTGGAGTTAGGAAAGTCTTAGAACACAGAATGTGAGAACACAGGATGTCAGAGCTAGAAAGGACCTTTGTTAGGACACAATGTCAGAGCTGGAAGGGACCTTAGAACATAGAACATTAGAGTTTGGAAAAGACCTTAGAATTCTGAACACAGAATGCTAGAACATAGAATGTTAGAGCTAGAGGGGACCTTAGAATATAGAACATTGGAGTTAGGAAAGGTCTTAGAACACAGAATGTTAGAACACAGGATGTCAGAGCTGGAAGGGACCTTAGAACACAGAATGCAGAATGTTATACATAGAAGGGCTAAGCTTGGAAGAACCTTGGAACATAGAAAATTAGGGGTAGGGGAGTTCTAGAAGGACCTCTGTCTACTCCTATCCCCAGACTGGGGAAACCCCTCACCCCAGCCTCAAGACGCTAACTGTCCAGAGGGGGAGCCAAGCCATCCCCTAGCAGCCCCAGAATGTTAGAGCTCAAAGGGACCTTGGAGATCCTTTGCTTTGAACCCCAAATTAAAGCTATGCAGTGAATGAGAAGCTCATCTGGGGTCTCCAGGCTTCCAGTCCCAGTGTTTTCTCTGTATCACTGCCTTCCATAGAGACATGTGCCAGGCAAGTCTACGCTAACAGCCAAGTGTCACATAGGGGGAGGATCGCTGTGGGGTGGGAGGGTCAGCAAAAGCTTCCTGGATCCTGAAGGACAGGCAGAATTTGGGTGGGCTCAGAGGGAGTCATTCTGTGTCCCACTCTCCAGGGGTCAGGCTTTATTTGGGTGATAGTGACAGCTAATGGATAAATCAGGCAAACTTTTCTCTGCTACTGTGTCAACCAACAGAAAAGAACTCCCAGGCGACAAAGTGCCTTAATCCAGTTGAAATGCACATGTGTCCAGAAGGTTCTCAGTAGCGCTTAAAGTGGGGGTTTGGATGGATGGAGTAGGGGACATACTTTGAATGGGAGGAGAGGGGCACTTCCCTTCTCATTCTGGGCAGGGGGTCAGTCCTCCCATCCCTTTCTTTTCTCTTTCTCTCCAGCTCTCGTCTCTTCTCTGTCTCCCCCAATGGCTGAGCAGTCTCTCAACAAAGCCAGAGACCTTTAGAAATCCAACCAGAAAGGAAAGGCAGGTGGAACTGGCCCTTTTCATCCTTTTTCAGACTCGTGGCCTACTCAAGGTTCACCTGAGTCCTTTTCAGCTCTTCCCCTGCTCCTCTCCCCCTCCCACCCGCCATTTCTGAACACTGATTACGTAGGCCCCATGAGATGGGGTCCCAGTGTGGATACTGGTCCTGGGAAATATAGCCTCCCTGCCTCACTGTCTAGTAACCTATCTACCCAAGACACGGACCCTGTTCCCTCTCCAAATGTTCTTCCTCCTCCAGATGGCTGGGGCCTGAGCTGAATCCCAACTCTTGTTTTTGCTTGGGTGACCTTGATCAAGGCCTCTGTTGAGGGGGTAACTGAGCCTCAGTTTCCTCAACTGTAAAATGAAGGGGTCAGTCTAAATGACTCCTCTGGTCCTTTCAACCCCCCAGTCTGTGATCTTACAACTTTAACATTATGGTGCCTTCCCTGGGTCAGAGGAAGGCCCAGCTGCCCTCCAAGTCCAAACCATGGTCAGCAGCTGAAGAGAAGAGATTCCCATGTTGTCGTGTATCTGCCAGCTCTCTGAGCCCGCGGAGAACTGGGGCTCACCCTGCGGCCTTTTCTCTTTTGCCCTCTGGGAGGAAGAGAATAAGACTGCCCCCGAGGGACCTAAAGAGCAGCTGGACCTGGATGAAGACAAGAGACAGCTGATAAAGAAGACCATGGTGCGGAAGCCTTGTGCTGGTCTGTGGTGCTGGGGAGGTGGGGACCCACTGACAAGCTTACTCACCTGCCTGAGCCCCTGGGGACTTTCTGGGAGGGGCCTTAGAACAGTGAATGTCAGGGCTGGGAAGGGCCTTAGAACAGGGGATGTCAGGGCTGGGAAGGGCTTGAGAACAGAGAAGGTCAGAGAAGGGAGGGAGCTTAAAACTTAGAATGTCAGACCTAGAAAAGTCCTTAGAAGATGGATGTGATCTTGGAAACTAGAATGCTAACAATAAAGATTAGGGGATGGAGGTGATGCTGTCCAAGTTTGTAACTGTAAAATATTAGAAATGAAATGAAATTCCCTTTTCCCTAAGGAGTTAGTAGGTATGATACATCAAATAGCCTGCAGTCCAGGGGACTTTCCCAGTGTGCTACAGGAGATTCAATTTGCCTGTCACATGACCTTGGCCAAGTCACTTGCCTTTTCCCATTTTCCTTACCTGTACTGTACAGTAACAACTGACACCTCTGCAGAGCTTTGGGATTTACAAAGTGACTTATTCACCATCACCCCTTGAGGTGGGGGATGCTCCATTGTCCTCCTCTGTAAGTTCAGGAAACTGAGGTTTAGAGTGCAAACACCTTAGCCCAGATGGCCCAGCTAGGGAGCGTCAGAGCTGGAGTGCCCAGGCTGGCATTTCTCCAAGATTCCACACCAGCCGTGCAAGGTTCTGAGAATCAGATGGTGTGGCTGGGCCTCTGAAAAGTGAGGGGGTCAGAATGAGAAGTTCATTGTTTGCTGGTAGAGGGCTCCCCTTCCCAGCTGATGGATCAGATGATCTCAGATGACAGGGAGCCTAGAATGACTGGCAGACAATGAGAAGCAGTGCTGCCTAGTGGGTAGAGAGCTAGCTTTGAACTCAGAAAGACCTGGATTCAAATCCTACTCCACCCCATATTGGCTGTGTGACCCAGGGTACATCACTTAACTTTTTGGTGCCCTACCAAAGGCATCAAACTTGCAGCCTTCAGGGCCCCAGTAGACACAAAACTCTGGCCATAAATTGCCATAAATTTCAGGGAAGGTGCCTGACTGGTAGAGGGAGCCCTATCCTATCCTATGGCAAGTAATAGGGAGCCATTAATGGTTCTTGAACAGAGACGTGGTAAGTCCGCTTGTAATCTCCAAGAGAACTGCCATCATTGTCCTCCTCTTTGGGCTCAGTGGCCTCCAAGAGCCCTTCCATCCTGAATCTAAGACTCCCCAGTCTGGTGTTCTTTCCTCCATGACACCCCTCTCCATGAGATTTCCAATCTAGAATTAAATGTGTTGGCTTATCCTGTGCCCTCTGCCTGTCACTCAAAGATCAGGCCTTGTGGGAGCCTTCAGAGGCATTTGTTCTGCCCAGCATTGGAACGGGCTGTCTCCTAAGGCAGTGATCTCCCCGTCCCTGGAAGTCTTCAAGCAAAGATTGGATGGTTCTTGTTAGATATTATAGAGGGGATTCCGGTTCCAGATACAGGTTGAACTGGCTGCCCTCTGGAGTCTTTCCTAGCTCAGATTCTCTGCAGTTCCATGTGGGCCCTGTAGGTGAGATGCGGGGGCCTGGGGGGAAGGAGGGCTCATTTGCTCCATTTTTCCCTCCTTCAGAAGCAGATCCAGGAGGAGCCCATGGATACACTCTCCAGTCCTAGCCGGCAGCAGGCCTTGGTGGCCCTGGCCCAGCTGAGGTATGTGGCTCTCCCCTCCCAGGCTTCTCCCTGCCCCACCTGCCCCTAACCCACCACTGTGTCCTAGCCTGAGCCCCCCTCCTTTTCTGACCCAATTCTTCTCCTGCTAAGAGCAGAACCATCCCCACCCTTGTCTGATGTATCTCTTCTAGTGTCTTCTTTAAGCCTTGATCCCCTATTAATCCTCCCAGTGTGAAGAAGGAAGGGTCAGAAGTCTACACTGCCTCCGTGCCCACTCAGAATATGTGTCCCCCTCCCACCTACCATCCCACCATTAGCAGCCTTGGAGACATGTGCCTTCTAACTTTGTTAAGACGTTCTTTAGTGCAATGGAAGAGAGAGTGGAACCAGAATCCTGGCCCCAAGCTGACCCATTCCAAGCCTGCCACAATCTCTATTCTCCCTTCAATAATTCAACTCAGCACACCGTTATTAAGGACCCACTCTGGAGAGGGCAGAGAGGCACCATAACAGGGAGGTGGTGAAACAATTTGGCTCATTTGGAGAGTGGACCTGTAGCTCGTATAAACCAGCAAATTCATGTTAAACACCTACTATGTGCTCAGTGCTGTGTGAAGACTGGGAATGCAAAGGCAGAGAGAAGGGAGAGTGTCTGGTAGGAAAGGTCAGTTTGGCTGAGGGTGCTGGTGGGGGGGTGGGGGGCTGCTAACAAGCCCAGGAAGCCATCTCATTGTAAAGGGCTTTGAACAGGGTGTTTGACTTTGGAGGTAATAGGGAGCAAGGGGAGTTTAAGGGAGGAGGCATAGTCCTTCCATATTTTAGGAGAATGACATTGGCAGTTAAATGGAGGCAGGACGGAGGAAGACCCTTCCAGGAGATAACGAGGAGGCTGCTTCAGTGGCCCCTCCCTCTGTCTCGTTCCTCTCTAGTCCCATCCGGCCGTGCCTGCGAGCAAAGGAGAGAAAGGAGCTGGTGGCCGTCTGCGTGAGGAGTGTGTTCTCCTTACCCTCGGTGCAGACCATGCAGGAGGAGGACAGACCCAATGCTGACTTTATACAGGTGAGACTCAGCTCCCCAGCTGTTCCATCCACCTTCTGTCTTCTCCCAGGAGTGGATTTTTTTCCCTCCCAAGATGCTCGAGGACACCAAGCTTTACCCAAGGTAATCTTTTTTTTTTTTTGGCTAGACAATGGGGTTAAGTGACTTGCTCAGTGTCACACAGCTAGTAAGTGTCAAGTGTCTGAGGTTGGATTTGAGCTCAGGTCCTCCTGACTTCATTCAGGGCCAGTGCTTTATCCACTGTATCACCTAGCTGCCCCATACCCAAGGTAGTCTTGAGGCCACTCTGAAGTACTGACATTGCTCTGTGAATGACCATCTCCTGAGAAAGGTAATCATTCACAAAGGTGCTCACTTAATTAGTAACAGATTCAGAATTTCAGGGGTTAGAGGGGTCCCCAGATATTTTAGTCCAGAGGTGTTCAACTCAGGGCCAATCGACAACGTGGCCAGTAACATCCCAAGTGCCACTGAACCAGATTAAAATGTAATTGGGAAATATTTAACAAAATGAATAAAAATACAGCACAACTCAGACAATGTGAATTTGTGGTTTTCTAAGTCACCACATGGCCTATTTGAGTTTGACCACGCTGCTCTAATTTTACCAAGGAGGTCCAGAAAGGAGAAGGGGATTGTTTCCAGTTCTAGGCACCACATTGTAGAAGGGATGCTTGCAGGGAAGGTCCTTCGGAAGCACTGCCGAGCCAGTAGAATCAACACCAGCTCCAGAGGGACCTGGCTTCAGATCCTGAGTCTTTCACTTGTGACCTGTGTTATCTGGGGCAAGTGACTTAACTTCTCCAGACTTCTGCTCTACCATCTCTCCAGTAGACCGGAGGTTCTGTCAGCTCCAGGTCTGTGATCTCAAGTCGGTGTGTGTCCAGAGGAGGTCTTGACCAGGATGTGGTCAGGGAAGATGATACGTGGTTGGGGGTAGGACAAAGTTGCTGTTTTCTAAGATGTATTTAAAAGGTTGTCATCGGGAAAGGGGCTCAGCTACGTTCCCCTTAGCCCTCGAGGCCAGAATCAGGTCCGGTCGGAGGAAGTCACGGGCAGATTCTGGCTCGGTGTAAGGAAAAACGTCCCAACAATTCGAGTTGTCTCAAAGTGGGAAGGGCTTCAGCAGAGAATAAGCTCACCATCACTGGAGGTCTGCAAGCAGAGTGTGGCTGGCCATTTATTGGAAACATTATGAACAGGATTCATGCTTTGGCCATGAATTGGGTGGAGTAGATGGCCTCTTCCAACTCTGATTTTTTGAGATTGCATGAAGAGCCCAAGGTCACACAATTAATGAATGGCACAGCCTGGGACCTGGAGTCAAGAAAACCTGAGTTCAAATTCAGCCTCCAACACTTACTAACTGTGTAACTCCTGGGCAAGTCACTTAACCTTGGTTTGCCTCTGTTCCTTCATCTGTAAAATAAGGTTAACAATAGCACCTATCTCCCGTGAAGATATGAGGATATGAAGATAAAAGGAGATAATATTTGTAAAGTGCTTTGCAAACCTTAAAATGCTATGCAAATGGCTATTATTATTATTATTATTATTATCTTACTGGGAAAGATCTTCTCCAGGTCCCTGGTCTCCAGACCCTCCCACATTTGGGAAGGCTGTGCCACCTCTCACCTGTGTTACCTGGGACGTCTCTGTGAGCCTCAGTTTAGGAATCTGGGCCTGAAATAGACACTCCCCAAAGTCCCTTCTTGCCCTGAATGCTATGGTTCTACAGATGCTGCATCAGTGAAGAGGACACCCTGGGGCCACCTTCTCTCACCTTCTGAAGCCATGGGGAGTGGGGGCTGTAGGTTGTGGACTGTAGGGTAAGGGACAGAACCAAACTCTTCTCATCTTCACCAGTTCTCTTCCCTCCCCACCCACAGTAGCTGTTCATAAATGTGATCCCAAGTAAAATCCTTTTTGATCCAAAGTAAGACAACATCCACCACAATGATGGCGTGGCACCGTTGGCGCCCTCAGACCCGTGAACAGGAAAGAGTTTAGATGACTCTAAACATGGGCCCTCCTGAGTCTCCAAGAGATTCTCAGAATGAGAAAATGTCGAATTTCAACATCCTAGAACTTTAGAGCCATAGAAACTTAGTCAGATGGAACTCTAGAATGTATGAATCCTAGAACCCAAAGACAAAGGAAACAAAGTACTAGAATCAGAGATCGTTGGGTTGGAGGAACCATAGAACCCCAGAACTTTGGAAAACTATGCAAAATGAAGATTTGGAGTTATAACCTGATAACATCCCAGGTCACAATCTGATAGGTGTGAAATGGTACCTCAGAGGCATGTTAATTTACATTTCTCCAATTATTAGTGATTTAGAGCATTTTAATTATATGATAGCTTGCATTTCTTTCTCTGAAAACTGCTTATTCATATCCTTTGGCCTTTTATCAATTGAAGAATGGCTTTTATTCTTACAAATTTGAATCAGCACCCTCTATATCTTTGAAATGAGAGAAACTTGCTGCAAAGTTGTTTTTCCCTATTTTCTGCTTCTCTTCTCATTTTAGCTACATTGGTTTTGTTTGTACAAAACCCTTCTAATTTTGTATTATCAAAACTATTCATTTTACTTCCTATGAATCTCTCTATATCTTGTTTGATCAGGAATGTTTCCCTTATCCATAGGTCTGATGGATAATTTCGTCCTTGCTCCTTCAATTTGTTTCTGTTGTTAGCCTTTATCTTTAAGTCAAGCACCCATTTGGAGCCTGTCTTGGTATGTGGTGTGAGATGTTGGTCTATACCTAGTTTTTGCCAGACTACTACTTTATGCTTTTCCCAACAGATTTTGCCAAATAGTGAGTTTTTGCTCCAATAGCTGGCATCTTTGGGTTTATCAAACGATAAATTATTGTGTTCATTTGCTTCTGTTTATCGTCTCCCTAATTGATTCTGCAAATCAGCCTTTCTCTTTCTTACCTAGTGCTGAATTGGTTTGATGAGTACAGTTTTTTAGTATATTTTAGGATTTGGTTTTACTAGGTTACCTTCCTTCCCATTTTTTTCATTAATTCTTTCAAAATTCTTGACCTTTTTTCTTCCTGATGAATTTTGTTGTTATTTTTCTAGCTCTATAAAGTAATGCTTTGGTGGTTTGATAGCTATGGCACTAAGTAAGAAAATTAATTTAGGTAGTATTGTCATTTTTATTATGTTAACTTGGCCTTCACATGAGCAATCAATATTTCTCCAATTGTTCAAGTCTCTTTAAATGTATAAACAGTGTATGGTAATTATGTTCATATAGTTCCTGTGGATGCTATGGGTACCTAAGAAAGCTAAAGCAATTTCACTTTGTGATTCCTCTATCTTTCCCCTGACCCTGTTTGTATTGCAACCCTCACCCTGTCTATAACCTTCCTCATTGATGAAATAGCAAGGACAGGTCTACCTATTAGGGTGGGCTTACATGAGATAGCTAACCTGAAAAAGGGATTTTCCTATTACTGGCCTCAGCAACAATCACGGAAAACCATATCCTCTATTCCTTCCCTACTAGCCCTCGACAATAAGCTCTATCCAGTCCTAAGTATCCCATATCCAATCCATCTCCTGCCTAAACCAAAACCTATATAAGCTTTGTCTTTTTGCTACTTTGGGGAGTCTCCATCTGTGCAGGTGGGGTTCCCTTGCTGACAAACTCAGTAAGCCCTCATTTAGTTTTGGTTCTAGTTCTGGTTTGTTCCAGTACCAACAATTTTACCCACAGTAAATGGTGGGAGTGCTAGGATTCCCTAGCAAGACAGAAAGACCTGTGGAATTCTAGGGATCATCACCTGGGAGTACTGTAGACTTCTCTACTCAGCACAGCCTTTGGTATTGAGAACCTGGTGAGTTTTTGTACTCAGGAGGCAAGGATTGACCATGCCACTCTGATCTGCAAATGATAATCTTCCCCATATTATTAATCAGGTCTTGTCTGATTGTTAGTTTGACTCCGATTTAGAAACCATTTCTCTAGACTAATTGGAAAAGACTTCACCAGCAAGTGATTCTATGCATCTGTCTTGTTTTTGTTTTTGTTTGAATGTTTGCATTTGTGAAATGTACAGTATGTTGTTGGCATTGTCTGTGTTTGGCGTCTTGGTAAAATCAAATCGACCTTCCTGTGGTCTAATCAGCCAAAGGAAAAGGGGTGTAAAGAGTGAAAACTTTTATGCAGAACTTCCAAAGTCTTCAAAAAGGAAGTCTCTCTTCTCTGCATTTCTAACTCAGGCCAAGTTGGGGAGGCAGATGAGAAATATCAATGGAGGGAAAGGAATATTTTTCCTCAGTCTGCAGAAAGTTTTGGCATACTAAACTAATTAGGGACTAAATTTATAACTGAAATCTAAGTTCTTCTTTACTGTGAATTTCCAAAGTATGGTTTGAATGTTTTTATAAATTCTAAAATATCTAAGTGAGTTTGGGGCTACCACTTTGTAAAATTTATTTTAAGGAAGAATAAGAATAAATTTTTGTGGAAATTACATGGAAACAGCACTTAGAACTTTTATCACTTTTTTTTTCTTGGAAAGTGACAGGTTTATTGTTTTAGTGCAAGGGAGGAAGGTTATTTCATAAAACAAAAAGGAATTGAAGCCAGTTTTAAAGCGTTATCAGTGAAGTTCCAAAGTGAAAATAAAAAATGGTTTGCAGTCTGCTATTTCAATTTATCTGGTGCTTAAGGATTGCCTATTATTATATCTTTTCTTGACCATGAAGAGATAGAAGCTTGTTTAATTCTGAGAGCATCTTGAAAAGTAAATAAAATTTAATTTGGGAGAATGTTTTATATTACCATTGCATTTTCTTCTACAAATTATATGACAGAATGTAATTGTTTAGGTAAAGTAGAAGCAAAGTCACCTAAAGATTTTGGAATAGACCATGTATTTGTAAACTCTTGAGAACCCAAAAAAGGTAACAGTATTAATCACACCTATCAGATAGGCTAATATGACAAAATAGGAAAATGATAAATGTTGAAGAA